GTTTCCTCTCTACATCGGACAATTTAACAAATGGTTCGGACAGTGTCCTTGACCAACTGATATTTTAAGGCCTGTGACCGTGCTACACAGTAAATTTTGCTTTATACTGTTGTGGTGCCCTGCCATTCGTTAGATTCAGTGATGTACATGTTCTGTTGTTTAATTAATGTTTGTACACACGTTTGAAAATTAGTGCAGGCCCTTGAAAGTCCTGAAATTTCTTTGCAATTGTATTGACAATACTTGAACGTCAATCGATTTTTATTAAACGCTAGTGTTTCAGAAAGCAAAATCCGTGCCGTTTTCAAAGGTTTTTTTTCCGTTATAAGGTCCTTAAATACACTGAAAAACATTCTTAAAAGTCCTGTCATGTGCGTACGTTTGTGTTGGCAAAGTGTACTATATGTACTAACCTGTGGTTGATCCATCACTTGCTGCATCACCTATTCTATTATCCAGCTATTTCTCACGGTTGGAAATGGAAAAAGAGAAAAAACAACGAAGACTAACTCCCAGCCTTTGAAGTGCGATATCTAGTGGTCGTGAAGTGGCGATCTAAGCCGCAGTTTTCGCCGAAACGGTAGTGTGCATTCGCGTGATGAAAATGGATAATGTCTCGCGGCAACCTATTATACCCTTTTTTATCCATAACCATGTCTCGCGGCAACCTATTATACCCTTTTTATCCACAACCAACCTATTATAATCTTGTTTGTTTGTTTGTGCCAGTGTAGTCTGCGTGTGTTTGTACCTCACACTCGGTGATTACCGGTGAATATTCACCTCACTTCGTCTCGGCATGATCGGTATTCTAAAAGCGTTAAGAATCGGAAAGTATCTGACAACGTTACAAGACAATATTACCGAAATCAGTAGAAATCAGTAGAGTGTCTTCTCCAGAAGTTGAAACGACAGTCAAAAGCCGGTAGAAACGTTCATGTTTTATGACGTCACGGTGAAGGAATACAGCGTGGAATTTGTATGTTTATTATACTTATTTAGTAACTTTATTTAGTTCGACAAATTGCCAATGGCTCGCCAGACACAAAACAAGCTTTCGAGCAAAGGGAGAACCTTTGTTCGTGGGAAGGCACTGGGAGAAGAAATGCAAACTAAATAAAGTTATTAATAAGTAAAATAACATACAAGTTCAACGCTGCATTCCTTCGCGGTGACGTCATAAAACATGAACGTTTCTACTGCCTTCTGACTGTCTTTTCAACTTCCGGAAAAGACACTCTACTGATTTCGGCAATATCTTTTCAGCCCGAGCTGAAAATATTTTACGCGTGACTTTTTATTGCTCTCTGTTAGAGATGCACCGGATGTCATATTCAACCGGATATCCGGGCCGAATAGTGAGGGAATCTCATCCGGTATCCAGCCGAATATATAAAACCTCCGTGTGAACACGGACGTGAGTTTGTACATTAGGCTTCCTCCCATTACTAAGTATATATAGTCACCAATAAGAATTAGGGTCTTACCTCAAGGTTTCCGTATTTTTGTCCATGGAAGCATTTCCTTAGATGGATCTAGTTTGACTCCGTTAGTATTTGACGCACACCCACTCGTCGGTTATACAGAGTCCACCTTAAAATGAAAATTCATAATCGTTTATCATATCGCTAACTGAGATGAGAGGGTGTTTTCCCAATAGTAGTACGTCTTTCATCATATATCCTATATTCCTCGCATCGTAAGTGCGACCGCCGAAGAACCTGTTAATTAAATTGCGGTGTTTTTGGTGAGTTTGTTGATAGCCACAGCCCTGTCTAGTTACGGCCCTGATTGGCTATCAACAAACTC